TGTTCCCTAGAGATTTGAGTTGAGGTGAGAAAGCCTCTGTGGTTACTGGTTTCATGGTTTAGAATGAGTACATGATAAAGATGGGAACTACTAATAATGAACTCATGATAACATCTTTTGAGAATTTTGTGATACAGGCAAGTTCCATTCCTTGTCTTGTATGTAATGATCATGAATGGATGGTGGCAGCATTTCGTCTATCTACTATCTATCTACTCTTCTACTTCTACTATCTACTCTTCTACTTCTACCTATCTACACCTCTCCCTCCACCCATCTCTAAACTCTCACTTTCAACTAATGACCCTCCTCGCTCCTCCCACCTCTCTACCTCTCACCCCAAACCCTCACTAATTACTTCACTATTCATTTCTTTCCTTTCGTTTTCTCTTATACGTTTGTGGCAATGATTCTGTATTCTAGAGTTCTCTCTAGAGTTTCGGGTAACTGATCAAGTGACGGCGCCTTGTAGTCTTAGCACCTAGGTAGTCAAATACCTAGGTTACAAGGTGTTGAACGAGAGAGGTTGCCTTAGGAGCTCTGGGAGTGCTCTAGAATAGTTAGCTAACTGGGGACGGGATAACGGACTAGAGAGAGCTGTTTCCCCCGGCCTCGTTAGTTAACTGGGGGGGTGGAATAATGGACAAGAGAGAGCTATTTCCCCCACCCCCCGTTACATTCTGACGGTCCTAGACACGTACTGAACAGTGTTCTGACGGTCCTAGACAAGTACTGAACAGTGTTCCAGATATATGAATTATTTTACATGGAAAAAAGCTCCAGAATAAGTTCCCGATAGTACAGTTCGGTTCATTCTCTACGCACAATCGAGAATTCCAGGCTCGAATCCCGGACGAGACAGAACTGTTTGGGCACATTAACTATCACCTAATGGTTCTGTTCACCTAGCAGTGAGTAGATACTCAGGAGCTAGTCAGCTTGTTGTGGGGTTGCATCGTGGCGGGATCAGTAATTCGGCCTTGGGGCGTGACCTAGATAAAAGCCAAAAAGTGTATGAATACACTCTGGCTTCCTGTCCCCCGACATAATGAATTATTATTATTATTATTATTATTATTATTATTATTATTATTATTATTATTATAGATGAGATGAAAACGTAGATTCATTATTTTACAATGTTTTCTGACTTGTCAAACATTTGTTGAATTTAAGTTTCAACAGTGTTTTGGCATTTATGGCTTCGGCGGATAGGCGCTAGCGACAGCAGTGGGTTTTGCAACAGTTGTATCGAAACTATCAGTATACAAGGTGCGGGTATTGGCTGGCAAGACTTGCTGACCTACTGCTGCAGCAGCAGCAGCAGTAGTCATGGTGAGACCCACACCACAACAAACTCAAAGCGTCTCAGTAAGGGTATTGTAGGTAGTTTTTTTTTTTTTTTTTTTTTTTTTTGAGATATATACAAGAGTTGTTACATTCTTGTAGAGCCACTAGTACGCGTAGCGTTTCGGGCAGGTCCCTGGAATACGATCCCCGCCGCGAAGAATCGAAGTTGATGACTCTCTATTTGGCGTTGGCCTATATCTATATCAAGGAGGGTTATTCACCAACCAGCAAGTACATTTTAGTATGAACATAATAAGGAACTAAAATACTTGAGTACAATAAAGAAGTAAAGTTAGTGTTTATATAGCGAGAAGCGGGATAGGCTCGTGCCGCTTCCGGGGGCCATAACTCTTAAATGACACAATGTTTTGGGCTTGAGCAAAGCACCGGATAGACCCGGGTTCTCAACACTTAAGTGACGTAATATTTTGAGATCAACCCGGGTACTTCATCTACTCTTCTATACAGATCCATATCATTCAAAGAAGCTTCGTGTATGGTATTTATCTCTGTTCATGGGGTCTCCTAGTACCACAGATCTCCAGTGCTATTGACACTGGTAATGGCTCAAAAGGGCCTCCACTTACGGGCTATTCATGCCCGTGCCACCTTTTGGGTGGCTTAATCTTTATGAATTAATCAATCGTCTCCTAGTACATATTCGTTCGTTCTCGACTCAGTCGGGAAGATAGGGTTCGATTCCTGGGTAGAACAGAAAGGGCTGTGGACGTTAACAATCACCTAATGCCTTTGTTCACTTATCAGTAAATAGATACCCGGGAGTTAGCTAACTGTTGTGGGCTTGCGTCCTGGAGAGGGCCAGTAATTCGACCTAGGGAGGACCTTGATACGAACTAGCCTTTTTGTTCAATTAAATCTCCTTCCCTTTCCAGCCCATTGCCGTCGTGAGGGGGCTTGGTGGGCGGCTGCCGGAGTGTGATGCTCTATTGGACAGCTTCTTGTCTGTCCTGTCGAAGCCTTATGCTCTTGCTGCTCTCATCACAATTTTTGCTGGCTGCTTTTTCCTCTTCCTCAAATTTCATTTTTCCTCCCCTACCTCTTATCCTTTCTGATTGTTCCCCTGCCTACTTTTTGCCATTCTTGAATATTCTTTCCGATGTCCTCTGTTTTGAGGCCGGGTGTTTGGGGAGGCGCACACTCTCACCTCTGGAACTGTGGTACCTGACGTTGTCGAGCGAGTTGATGTTTTATTGTCAAACTTTGGCTTCGTTGCTGAGCCCGATCTCGACGGACTGACGGTTCATTAAGTGGCGATTACAGGGTTTATATCCACGATGCACCCCTGGAGGCGTGTCCAGTTGTCTTGTTGGGTGTCCTATTCTCTAATTGTGGCTCCGTGGTGGGTATGGGTGCTTGTTCGTGGACGAACTTTTTAACTGTTCGTTTTTAGGCCATTCTCTGACTTATTTAACTTCTCAGACTCGTGGGGTGGGCGACCAGGCCCTTGAGTCGGACTGTGATGGACGGCTGAGCTATGTAACCCCCGCTACATTGGGCCCAGACCAAGCTGCTTCTCTGACTCTCCTGACTGCCTCTCTCTGCTCCCCTCCCACCTCTGTGGCAGGGATGAGCCCCAAGCCCCTAGTGGTGACCACCTCATCACCTGGAGTGGCTCCATCTCTCATTGTAACAACTGTGCCTTTTACCCCCCCCCCCTCTCATATTGGGGGTGCTTGGCGCCGTCACCTCCGCACTCGCACGATTCCTTCCGGTTCTAATACAGTCCAAGCTTTGGTCCTGCTACGTGGAGAAAGTATTTTGACCTCAGTCATATTGATTCTGCATGTCCTCATGATTTATTCACCCATAAACACCTCGTTGATTCGGTGGATACCTTTGTCATTTTTAACCCCACCCTTACTGGTACGTGTGTTGTTGCAGCCCTTCTCAGAAAGCGGCTGACCATTTAGCCTCGTTTTCCTACATTGGGGAGACCCCCTGTTCGGATTACCAAAAATACCCGTTTAAATGCCTGGATTGGCACAGTTATCCTCCCACACCATACTGCGACTGGTGACAAAGAACTGAAAGACTGCCACGAGGATATTAAACATATCCTCGAGGATATTAAACATATCCTCGAGGCCCAAGACCAGTCTATCCTCCAGATTGTTACGTTCACTCAACCCCCTCGTGGTCGTCGTCGTCAGCCTCTTCACGTAGTGAAGATCACTTGAGAGAAGGTACCTTCCATCTTCTGTAATTCTTGCTGGTGCCAGATGCTCCCTTCAGGAGTACACCTTCTCTCCTCGCCTCTGTAATAGGTGCTGGAGATTTCGGCACAGTCCCTTCAAATGCATGAGTGTGGTGTGTCTATGCCCCTCGTGTGGAGACTCGGGCTAAGACAGAGTGCTCGTCTTCTCAAGCTCACTACATCAATTGCGATGACGCTCATAAACACCTGTTGGCCTGTGCTCCTTTTGGGTGATTTTAACTGTGGGTATACCCTCTGGGGCGATGTTCTCACAAACACCCAGGGACACCTTCTCGAACCATTCGTCCTCTTCTCTCTCTTCTGAATTCTGGTGAGCCCACTCATGTTGACTCACGCACTCGCACTCTCTCCTGTCTTGATTTGTTTGTCTGCTCATCTTCTCTATATTTAGATTTCACGTGGCGGGGTCTTGATGACCTCCATAACAGTGACCATTTCCCTATCCTTGTCATCTTCTCTTTTCACCCCTCCTCTCTCCTTCCCTAGGTGGTAGTTAGCCGAGGCTGGCTGGAACCTCTTCACCCTACATGTTACCCTTTCTGACCTCTTCGATCTGCCTCTCCCTCGAGCCCTCCTCTTTGACTCTCTCAGTGCCTTCATGGCTCTGGAGTCCTTTAATCCAGTCCATCCTGTGGTAGTCGAAATTCAACATTGGCTGTTTTTTTATCTCCAGCAGGTTTAAGACCGAAGTTTTGCTGGGTTCCCAGCCATATTGGTGTGTCTTTAAATGAACGTACGGACGCTGCCGGTAAGGAGGCTATCCGCATTTGTCCCATCTCCCGTAAAGTAAAGGTATTCCTTATTCCGACTTATACCCAGTTATTCACGCCTCAATCCATGCTCGTTGGTCTTCTGTTACTGGTAACAAACTGCGTGTTCTTAAGAGTAGTGTGTCCCCGTGGCCTTCCTCCTACCACCGTAATCGGCGGTGGGAAACATACTGTGTGTAACTGTTATGCGGGTTGCTATTTCTGGGTAAAACATTCTCATACTAAACCAAGGGTGGGAGTTTGTTTGTGTCACGTGTCGCTCACAGGGGGGTGCCCGCCCCCCCTGGTAGTAGTATGGACATAACTTGGTGCTAGTATGTGCAAATAAATATTTATTCCCTTTTAATGTGGAAGGAAGATTGTTTTAAATTGGTTCTAACATTATATGAAAAGGTTTGTGTATTATTAATGTGATCATATATTCGGGATATACTCACTTATCATATATCACGTGGTATACTCGTGATAATGTTGCGTGGATTATATAATTCATAAATTATTCTGAATTCTATAGTCCATGCAACATTCTCACGATTATAGCCTAATGTGTGTTTTAGGCTGTTGGTCTGACATGCTGTATTATACATTTCCATACTTATAGCCTTGCTCCCTGCTGTGTGACACTTCTGGGTGTGTTTCAACAGTTCTGGGAGGTGATCAGCGATGAACACGGCATCAATACTGATGGCATGTATGAGGGATCCCACGAGCTTCAGCTGGAAAGGATCAATGTCTACTACAACGAAGGCCACAGTACGCCCTCTCTCTCTGCCTCTCTCTCTCTCTCTATGTCTCTCTCTCTCTCTCTCTCTCTCTCTCTCTCTCTCTCTCTCTCTCTCTCTCTCTCTCTCTCTCTCTCTCTCTCTCTCTCTCTCTCTCTCTCTCTCTCTCTCTCTCTGCCTCTCTCTCTCTCTCTCTCTCTCTCTGCCTCTCTCTCTCTCTCTCTCTGCCTCTCTCTCTCTCTCTCTCTGCCTCTCTCTCTCTCTCTCTCTCTCTCTCTCTCTCTCTCTCTCTCTCTCTCTCTCTCTCTCTCTCTCTCTCTCTCTCTCTCTCTCTCTCACTTCTATACTACACACCGAGCACATCTCACTTTGAACAGATTTATATCCTATATACGTGACATAATAGGGTCGCACATTTCTTGTCGCTTGTGTTTCACTTGGACAGTGAATATTGCAACAAATGCACAATGCACGCAACAGGATACAACACATGCATGAGCACTATAGGATACAAGAAGCACACATGACCACAACAAAATACAGCAAAAATACATGCATGCAACAGGCTATAACATACGCACACAGCGGATTTAGACCAAGAAGAAGAAGAAAATCTGAATTTAACAGGAAGAGTAAATAATACAATGAAACGCATCACCCAGGATACTACAATCCGCAGAAAGGTTCATCCCAGCACTGAAGAAAGTAAATTGATAACACACGTAGCCCATGATTTAACGATCAATGATCCAAGTAAAAACTGAGAAGAATGCATGGAAGAAATAGACCAAAGAGGAGGGAAGCATGATAGAGATTGGTGGAAGAGTGAGATCAGACTACGAACATAAGATTAATAGCAAAGACAGGGCTGACACCAAGTTGTAAGTGAACTGCATTAAAGAGGGCGTTTCCTTAATAAGTTACTTGTTAACTTAATCTGCTTTTTTATTAATATACTTACGTAGTGAACGGTTGTTCTGCTACCCAATTTTATATGCATAAGCAACGATATCCTAGCCTAATTCTAGCAATTAGAATGTCACATTGCTATGTATGTTTTATGTTGTCAGTACGTTAAAGTTTTCAACCGAATAGTTATTTTTACAGCTGTCAAGTCGGTAGTCTCTGCAATCTACACAGCTGTCAAGAGGAAACACCAGCCTAGGCCCTATAGTCTGGTGTGCGGTAATGCGAGTGTAGGTCAGGGACCACCCGGCCACATTATAACTGTTTAAACAAAGGGAACTAACTCACATTACCATTCACCTTCACCACTTCTAGCACCAGTCATGTACCATCTCTCCCTCTCAACACCGGTCACCACTCTCCCTCTCAACACCGGTCACCACTCTCCCTCTCAACACCGGTCACCACTCTCCCTCTCAACACCAGTCACCACTCTCCCTCTCAACACCAGTCACCACTCTCCCTCTCAACACCGGTCACCACTCTCCCTCTCAACACCGGTCACCACTCTCCCTCTCAACACCGGTCACCACTCTCCCTCTCAACACCGGTCACCACTCTCCCTCTCAACACCGGTCACCACTCTCCCTCTCAACACCGGTCACCACTCTCCCTCTCAACACCGGTCACCACTCTCCCTCTCAACACCGGTCACCACTCTCCCTCTCAACACCGGTCACCACTCTCCCTCTCAACACCGGTCACCACTTCACAGTGTTTTTATTTGATCTTCCACAAATTATATCGACAAAATAACTATAAACAGCAAAATGATGCATAAATTGTTGTCTTGCAGGTGGAAAATATATACCTCGTGCTATTTTGGTCGACCTGGAGCCTGGTACCATGGATTCCGTCAGAAATTCAACATTTGGCAAGATTTTTAAGCCCAATAACTTTGTCTTTGGTAAGTAACAAGGACGTGTGAATATAACTCTATGACGTATGCGTGTATTCACAGGGATGTGTGTTAGGTTGGGTGAAGCTCCTGGGCCCCAGCTTGTTTAACCTGTCGTTGTTTATGTGTTTTGACATAATTACTTGTGAATCCTCGTCTCTTAGGTGGCGCTCCACGACCTCCATTACCACGTGAGCTGGTGTTCTGTTACTACGTGATCTGGTGTTCTGTTACTACGTGATCTGGTGTTCTGTTACCACGTGATCTGGTGTTCTGTTACCACGTGATCTGGTGTTCTGTTACCACGTGATCTGGTGTTCTGTTACCACGTGATCTGGTGTTCTGTTACCACGTGATCTGGTGTTCTGTTACTACGTGATCTGGTGTTCTGTTACCACGTGATCTGGTGTTCTGTTACCACGTGATCTGGTGTTCTGTTACCACGTGATCTGGTGTTCTGTTACCACGTGATCTGGTGTTCTGTTACCACGTGATCTGGTGTTCTGTTACCACGTGATCTGGTGTTCTGTTACCACGTGATCTGGTGTTCTGTTACCACGTGATCTGGTGTTCTGTTACCACGTGATCTGGTGTTCTGTTACCACGTGACGTGGTGTTCTGTTACCACGTGAGCTGGTGTTCTGTTACCACATGATCTGGTGTTCTGTTACCACGTGATCTGGTGTTCTGTTACCACGTGAGCTGGTGTTCTGTTACCACGTGATCTGGTGTTCTGTTACTACGTGACCTGGTGTTCTGTTACCACGTGATCTGGTGTTCTGTTACTACGTGACCTGGTGTTCTGTTACCACGTGATCTGGTGTTCTGTCACCACTGTTCTGTTCTGTTAGTATTAGTATTAAGTTCTAGATATTAATGTTTTTTCTTGCCCGAAACGCATTGCGTAATAGTGGCTTTAGGCATTGTATGTACTAGCTCTATCTATATATCAATCCATTAATGTAACATCACTTGTATGTATATACCTTACCTGAATAAACATCTGAATCTGAATCTGAATCTGTGATCTGGTGTTCTGGTACCACGTGACCTGGTATTCTGTTACCACGTGACCTGGTGTTCTGTTACCACGTGACCTGGTGTTCTGTTACCACGTGAGCTGGTGTTCTGGTTCCATGTCTTCCTCCTCTCTCATTATCTTCTGCATTATCATTTATTGGTCTCTTTATCTCCGTTGACACTTCTCCATCGTCTTATCGTCCTTCCTGTCTCTCCGCCTTCCCTCCTCCACCTCTGTGTGCTGGCCTGAGCACAACATCTTAATACATCGGTGAAAGATGAGATGTGTGCAGTAAGAAGTCCTAGTCAAGAGTCTGACGTCTCAGAGACTGGCTTACAACCGTCTGACTTTCCCCAGGTTCCTTGAAGTCTCTTAGACCTCACTTTCCAGCTTGACGGCTTTTAGACGTGATTTTTCAGTTCCTTTAAAGTCCACAAGATCTGACTTTTCAGCTTCTTTGAATTTGTGAGACTTGATTTTCAGGCTTCCTTTAAGTCTTTAAGGCAGAGATTTTCAACCTTTTTAATTCACGGCATACTCAACAAGGCATTGAAGTAGTGGAGGCACTCCATAATTGAACAAATCCACAAGGGCCGTGACGAGGATTCGAACCTCCGTCCGGGAGCATCCCAGACACTGCCTTAATCGACTGAGCTACGACTCCATAATTTTTTTTAAATGCAAGTGAAAATATTTTCTTACGATGTCAGTTGACTCACTCAAATGAATGACCACAAATTTTGCTTCTTTCCTCAAGCTCCCACGTTGCTCCTGTGGACCCTTGGCGGCACACTGGTTGGAAAAACGCTGCTTTAAGGCCTGACTTGCTAAGACTCCACATGTGTTCCATAGGTCAGAGCGGAGCTGGCAACAACTGGGCCAAGGGCCACTATACAGAAGGCGCCGAGCTTGTGGACTCCGTTATCGACATCGTGAGGCAAGAGGCGGAAGACTGTGACTGCTTACAGGGCTTCCAGCTGATGCACTCCCTTGGAGGCGGGACTGGCTCCGGCATGGGCACCTTGCTCATCTCCAAAATTAGAGAAGAGTACCCTGATAGAATAATGAATACGTTCTCTGTTATGCCCAGTCCTAAGGTAAGATCATTCTTGTTAAACGAGCAACACTGATTGTTTACATATGATTCAACTATATAAATCTCTGGTGCGCCCCCGATTGGATTTCTATATCCAAGCATAGAGACCTCATTTTCAGAAAGACATAGCTGCTGTGGGGAAAGTGCAGCACCGGACAATATAAGTCATCCCAGAGATAAGTCATCTCTCGTATCAGGAATGCTTGAAAGCAACACGACTAACAACACTGCAAACCAGGCAAACCAGGCTCTACCGTCCAGTCAAAGTGGCTGGACAAATTCTAATTTGGACAACTTTCTAATTCTGTAGAAAGAATTAATAACTTTTGATATAAATCACGTATTTCGGTTTTAGGTGTTAGTTAAACTGTATTTTCCTTATTAGTTATCTTTCTTTAAATTGTGTTTGTGCTTAAGAATCGTTGCTTAAAAATAATTTTTTTCAGAAATGTTAGAAGTTAAGAAGGGCCGTCGACATGCGATATTGATAGCCTAAGTTATTAACTGACGCCATTTTGCAGGTGTCTGATACAGTCGTGGAACCGTACAATGCAACTCTCTCCATTCATCAACTTGTTGAAAACACAGATGAATCTTACTGTATCGACAATGAGGCTCTCTACGACATTTGCTTCCGAACCCTCAAGCTGGCTACCCCCACCTACGGTGATCTCAACCACCTGGTGTCTCTGACGGCGTCTGGCATCACCACCTGTCTGCGCTTCCCTGGCCAGCTGAATGCTGACTTGAGGAAGCTTGCTGTCAACATGGTACCCTTCCCTCGTCTCCACTTCTTCATGACGGGCTTCTCACCACTCACATCTCGAGGGTCGGTATTGATGTTTGAAGCCTCATGTCTTCAAAACAAAGGCTAAAATTACTTAATCTCAGTATGCTTGTCTTAGATTAAGGAGTTTTGATTCTCCTGGTGTTCATGTCGTCTATTATCTCCAAGGGATAGCTTTGGCAGAGCTACGTAAATGCGAATGTACAAATGTTAAATCAAACTGTACAAGGTGTACAATAGATAGTAGGCCTGATGAGAGACCGGGCCGCGGGGACGTTGATCCCCGGCGACCAAGTTAAGATAAGCTGTGGGCTTCTCATCAATTGCACAATTCTGACACTGTGCTTATTAAACATTTTCTTATAATTGTTTACTTTATTATTATATATAAAATTACTTTAAATTTCAGTAACCAGAAGTTCCAAACATTATCTGTACCTGAGCTTGCTACACAGATGTTTGATGCAAAGAATATGATGGTAGCTTGCAACCCTGGTAATGGACGGTATCTGACTGTGGCCGCCATGTTCCGTGGGCGCATGTCCATGAAGGAGGTAGACGAACAGATGGTCAGTATGCAGAACAAGAGAGCCTCAAATTTTGTAGAATGGATTCCCAACAATGTTAAAACAGCTGTCTGCGACATTCCCCCGAGAGGACTGAAAATGTCGGGCACTTTTGTTGGCAACTCCACTGCTATTCAGGAATTATTTAAGGTTAGAATGTTAATCAATTTGGCCTTTGTGTACTAGTTTGTAAATTTTATTTATCTGTCCGTTTATATATATATATATATTTTGCTTATTTTAAATTGAAACTGTCACTTTATCTGTTGTGCTTCTCCCCCTGTTTAAGCTCTCGACCCTTTATTGTGCTCCTGCTTCAGCATCTGTTACGACCCTGGGTTCTTCAGTGGAAACCAGAGGTCAAAATTTAACTAATTAAGCTACGTTAGAGTAGGAAATCGCAACCCGATGTGTCTTTGTTTGTATCTTCCCTGCCAGACGTGAGACTATTCTTGTTTCTCAAAGAGCATTTAAAGACTGAGTTGGGGGTTGATTATTAAATAATAATCTCTCTCCTTTGCTTGACCTCCTTCGCCTTCCTTCTGTAAACATCATATACCCCCTCAAAGTCCTCGTCAACCTACTGTCTCCTCACTGAGCTTGAGAAACAGCTTTCCCGCCACAAAATAAAAACATTGTCTCCGAGTAAAGCCAGTATTGATGTTCCTGCAGCGTATTGGAGTGCAGTTCACCGCCATGTTCCGGAGGAAGGCCTTCCTTCACTGGTACACGGGCGAGGGCATGGACGAGATGGAATTTACGGAGGCCGAGTCTAACATGAACGACTTGGTGTCGGAATACCAGCAGTACCAGGAGGCCACTAACGATATCGACGACGACGATAGCATGTACGAGGAGAGCTACGATAGAGGACAGCCACAACGAAACGAGCCTAAGGAGAGAGACTTCGAGGAGGAGGAAAGGGAGGAGGATGAGGAGGATCCCGATGAAAATTAGGATGGGTAATATTGAGTACAGCAGCACATTCACTTGACCAGGATAACTGCATGGCTGTGGTGAGAGTGAACATGTAGCAGTATTGAACTGATTAAGGAAAAAAAGAATGTCGAACTGCGATGCAAAACTGGATATGTAAAATATGTAAGGGTACTAGTGCAGGTGCTTGTACGTGACACGGCTTGACTGTACACACACACACACACACACACACACACACACACACACACACACACAATAGAGAGAGGGGGAGTGAAGAATAAGGAGAGGGGGAACAAGTTCCTGAAGATTGCATACACCAACATAGATGGAGTGAGATCGAAGATACTGGAGTTAAGTGATGTAATACAGCTGCAGACACCAGACATTGTTGCACTCACGGAGACAAAACTTGAAGATGTAATTTTAAATGAGGTCATATTCCCAAGGGGCTACTCAATTTGGAGACGGGACAGAAAAATTAGGAAAGGCGGTGGCGTTGCTGTGCTGGTAAAAGAACACCTAAAGGTGAAGGAAATAATGACTGCCAATCCACAAGAAGTTGACATAATAGCACTAGAGATCTGCTATGAGGATGATAAACTAATGATGATAAATGCATATAGTCCACCGCCAAGCAGCACATGGTCAAAGGAGGAGCTAGATAGTAAACGTGAAGGTCTTATAACAATAATGAGAGAGATTATAGCGAGAGCGGATAACGATAGATCACGACTGTTGATAGTCGGTGACTTCAACTTGAAATCCATAGACTGGGAAGCATATGAAGCTAAAACAGAAGATTTTTGGACCTGTAAATTTGTAGACCTCATCCTGGAAACATTCTTGTATCAACATGTTAAACAAGCTACGAGGATGAGGGAAGGGGACGTTCCCTCCATGCTAGATTTGATATTTACCAGGAAGGAGGAAGAGATATTTGACATTCAGTACCTTCCTCCCTTGGGTAAAAGTGACCATGTCTTTTTGGGAATAAAGTATGCAATGCGTTATAAGCTGGAAGAAAATAAGGAGGTTGAAGCAGTTGAAAAACCAGACTTCAGGAGAGGACATTATGGTGACCTTAGAAATTTTTTTAGTGAGTATAATTGGACAGACTTGATGCTAGGCAAGGAAGTGAATGAGATGTATGGCAAGTTTTGTGAAATATATGATAAAGGCACAAAAAAATTTATACCAAAACAGAGATGCAGGACCAGAAAACAGGATTGGTTCGACAGAAATTGTGAGAGGGCAAGAGACCAAAAGACACAAAAATGGAATCAGTATAGGAAGAGGCCAAACCCCCAAACATACCAGCGATACAAAGATGCGAGAAACAATTATACAGCAGTAAGGAGAGAGGCAGAAAGAAATTTTGAAAAAGGGATAGCAGATAAATGTAAAACAGAAACGGGCCTATTCTACAAATTCATAAACAACAAATTGCAGGTAAAGGATAATATCCAGAGGTTGGAAATGGGAAACAGATTCACGGAAAATGAAAAGGAAATGTGTGAAACATTAAATGAAAAGTTCCAAAGTGTGTTTGTACAAAATGAAATCTTCAGAGAACCAGACACAATAAGAATTCCAGAGAACAACATAGAGCGGATAGAGGTGTCTAGAGATGAAGTGGAAAATATGCTAAAGGAGCTCGGGAGGAACAAAGCAGCTGGCCCAGATGGCGTTTCACCATGGGTTCTGAGAGAATGTGCATCTGAGCTCAGCATTCCACTTCACCTGATCTTTCAGGCATCCCTGTGTACAGGAATCGTAGCAGACGTGTGGAAACAGGCTAACATAGTTCCAATCTACAAAAGTGGCAGCAGGGAAGACCCCCTCAATTATAGACCTGTATCATTGACAAGTGTAATAGTGAAAGTATTGGAAAAGCTAATCAAAACTAAATGGGTAGAACACCTGGAGAGAAATGATATAATATCAGACAGACAGTATGGTTTTCGATCAGGAAGATCCTGTGTATCGAATTTACTCAGTTTCTATGATCGGGCCACAGAGATATTACAGGAAAGAGATGGCTGGGTTGACTGCATCTATCTGGACCTAAAAAAGGCTTTCGACAGAGTTCCACATAAGAGGTTGTTCTGGAAACTGGAAAATATTGGAGGGGTGACAGGTAAGCTTCTATCATGGATGAAAAATTTTCTGACTGATAGAAAAATGAGGGCAGTAATCAGAGGCAATGTATCGGAATGGAGAAATGTCACAAGTGGAGTACCACAGGGTTCAGTTCTTGCACCAGTGATGTTTATTGTGTACATAAATGATCTACCAGTTGGTATACAGAATTATATGAACATGTTTGCTGATGATGCTAAGATAATAGGAAGGATAAGAAATTTAGATGATTGTCATGCCCTTCAAGAAGACCTGGACAAAATAAGTATATGGAGCACCACTTGGCAAATGGAATTTAATGTTAATAAATGTCATGTTATGGAATGTGGAATAGGAGAACATAGACCCCACACAACCTATATATTATGTGAGAAATCTTTAAAGAATTCTGATAAAGAAAGAGATCTAGGAGTGGTTCTAGATAGAAAACTATCACCTGAGGACCACATTAAGAATATTGTGCAAGGAGCCTATGCAATGCTTTCTAACTTCAGAATTGCATTTAAATACATGGATGGCGATATACTAAAGAAATTGTTCATGACTTTTGTTAGGCCAAAGCTAGAATATGCAGCGGTTGTGTGGTGCCCATATCTTAAGAAGCACATCAACAAACTGGAAAAGGTGCAAAGACATGCTACTAAGTGGCTCCCAGAACTGAAGGGCAAGAGCTACGAGGAGAGGTTAGAAGCATTAAATATGCCAAAACTAGAAGACAGAAGAAAAAGAGGTGATATGATCACTACGTACAAAATAGTAACAGGAATTGATAAAATCGACAGGGAAGACTTCCTGAGACCTGGAACTTCAAGAACAAGAGGCCATAGATTTAAACTAGCTAAACACAGATGCCGAAGAAATATAAGAAAATTCACCTTCGCAAATAGAGTGGTAGACGGTTGGAACAAGTTAAGTGAGAAGGTGGTGGAGGCCAAGACCGTCAGTAGTTTCAAAGCGTTATATGACAAAGAGTGCTGGGAAGACGGGACACCACGAGCGTAGCTCTCATCCTGTAACTACACTTAGGTAATTACACACACACACACACACACACACACACACACACACACACACACACACACACATATACGAAAAATATACACACAAATACAGTACCCACATATATACACTATGCTGGGTGTTCAGAAGTCTCGGCACTTTCATCCTGCATTTAATATAGTTGTCTTCAGTTAAAATATTGTTACATATATACTTTATAACGTAACATTTCATGATAACGAATCAATACATGTAACTTCAACACAGTCACAAAGGTCACCGTCATTTGCACTACGAGAGCAACGAGGAACTGTCTTGTGGCGAGCAGCACCTTGTGTACAGAAGCACTGTCCTCACCAGACGTGTTCTGCAGCCCCCTACATCACTTCTCAAACTCTAAGTAAACATAAGATTTCTTATTCGGGAAGAAAATCTTTGTGTACAGTTGGCTTCGTTCTCGACTCACAATCAGGAACCCCAGGTTCGATTCCCGGGCGGGACAGAAATGGTTGGGCATGTTTCCTTTCACCAAATGCCTCTGTACACCAGGAGTTGGGCAACTATTGTGGGGTTGCATTGTGGTAAGGATCAGTAGTTCAACCACGAGGGTAGGATTTCTGCGCAAGCCTAGATAAAACAAAAAGTATATAAACAGGCTTCCTGTCCCAGAGAAAAGGAAAAAACTAATTATAATATTGGCTAAAATGTTCGATATCAAGTTCTGCATGGGCCCAGAGTCCTTAGCTGGGTTGTTACAGCCCGCGGCAGGAAGATATCCTGGCAGGGTAATCTAAAACATGCCCTTCATGCCTGCTGCATTCTTGTGACGTCGAGGGATTTTTCCACACGTGTACCCCTTCACTTCACCACTCTCGTGTGTTGAGTTCTTTTGTGGGAGTAGTTTCTTCAACGTCCAGAGATGTTGAACCCCCCTTTCAATCACTAACTTCTTCACACAAAATGCTGGACCACTTTTCATTAACAACTCACTTCCAACCTCTGAACACATCCACCCATCCTCTGAATACATCCAATTTCAACCTCTGAACACACCCACCCCCAACCCTCTGAACACACCCACCCCATCCCTCTGAACACACCCACCCCATCCCTCTGAACACACCCACCCCATCCCTCTGAACACACCCACCCCATCCCTCTGAACACACCCACCCCATCCCTCTCAACACACCCACCCCATCCCTCTCAACACACCCACCCCATCCCTCTCAACACACCCACCCCATCCCTCTGAACACACCCACCCAACCCTCTGAACACACCCACCCCAACCCTCTCAACACACCCACCCCATCCCTCTCAACACACCCACCCCATCCCTCTGAACACACCCACCCCATCCCTCTGAACACACCCACCCAACCCTCTGAACACACCCACCCCAACCCTCTGAACACACCCACCCCAACCCTCTCAACACACCCACCCCATCCCTCTGAACACACCCACCCCATCCCTCTGAACACACCCACCCCATCCCTCTGAACACACCCACCCAACCCTCTCAACACACCCACCCCAACCCTCTCAACACACCCACCCACAACCTCTGAACACACTCTGAAACTACAGATTATTATTAGTGTGTTTATTTACAAAACCGGCAGTCAAAACATTAACTTATCCAACTATTATGCATAATGACCTTGTAGGTCTGTGAAGTATGCAATATGACCCATGTTGACCACTTGTTACATACTGTGATACCCTGACTTGCCTTAATATTCATGTTCGGCTAACAAGTTTTTTAATATCTAACACAATTTATAATTTTGAATTAGGCTGACTGTATTGAGTGCCACGGAAAATATATGTTAATATTATGCAACAACTTCATATAAGTTTATGCTATCGTATAAGTTCATTATATGATGGTATTATAATAACTATAGAATGTAAGTATTTGCTCAGTAATGATTATGACACAAGCGTGTTTTGATAATACTTGTTGTTTTAAGACGAGCATATTTATTATAGTTAGTAATTAACTATCGGCATGGAAACATTATTAAAATTACTGTTCTTTAAATATTTTTTTTTAATAAGCTTACTTTACCTTTAGGGAATATACGTTAACAGAAATATTAGCT